AGCTTCTCGCCGAATCGCACGAACGCATCCTAGCTGATTCGCGTTTCTTTTTATCAGTACAAAATTACCTTTTTCAAAAAGGTAAAAAAAAGGCGCCAAGTATACACGCGTAGTTGTTACCTCGAAAAAAAAAACAAATGGTAGTATCATTAATTTTAAATTAAAAAATATTAATAAAACCCAAATGGTACGTAATATCTTTGTACCTCGAAAAAACCCAAAAGTGGGTGGGTAGTATCTTTATTTAAAAAAAATTAAAACCCAAGTAGTACATATATTACCTAACTTAACCCAGTCAGAAATGATTAGTTGATTCGACGTTGAATCAATGTCGAAAACCGAATGTCGAATCAACGTCGTAATTCTGGTCGATTCGACGTCGAAAGCGTATAAAATATCACCGACTATTCAACTTATCGTTTCAACGTCGTTTCAACGTCGAAGGTTGAAATTCGATTGAAATGTAGTATATTATATATTTTATATATTTTTTATATATGCAGTGTTTGTCTGGATAGGTCCTAAATATAAAATTTATATATATTATTTATACATATGTGATTGATCGCGCAATTACGCCATTTCTTAAACGTCCATAAAATTATTTTGTACAATTTACATAAACAATGTCGTAATATTTTTTAGGATTAAAATTTAAATTGATCGAATTTTATAAGTGCGCACTCAAAACAGCGCTATTAATCGCTTTGACGTTGAATCAACCTTGAATCGACACTGGACATGATCGATATTGCAGGAATATCGACTTTCTTATCGACTCAACCAGCTGTTAACCATATCGACGTTGAATTAACCTTGAATCAAGGTTACATTTCTGACTGGGAACTCAAGTGACATGTATTTCAAAAAAAAATGTGAAATCTTTAAATTAAATTGCGCCAATTGTAAAGAGAATATGTATAGTGCTTTGAAAGATAATTGTTATGCAACTACTTTAAAGAAATAAAACCCAAGTGGTATCTTCGTCCCGCGAAAAACGATTGTATTAAAACCGTATTAAAAGCTTATATGAATTTATTAAGAATCTTATTAGAATCGAATATGCAAATCAATTATAATTTAAATATGTCATATTTAAATCAAATTAAAGTACCCCATCTTATTTAATCTATATATGGATTAAACTGGACCTTGCTTTGTTAAAGTATGCAAAATCAGCCGCACAGACCTAAGAAAATGCAAAGTTAATATGGTTTTAATTTGCCAAATGTGGATTAAATATGGTAATAAATTCAAAATTAATTTGTTAAATATAATCATATAAGTCAAATATAATCATATATAAGTCAAATATAAGTCAAATATAATCATATAAGTCAAATTTGTCATATATAAATGTTATTTGATCTTATTAGAATTTTATATAATTTTGTTTTAAATTTAAATTTATACCAATTTATAAATTTAAACAAGATTATATAAAATTTTATTTTTTAAGCGTGCTACTTTATTATAAGAGTGGACTTCACGATATAACTGATACAAAAATTGTGTCGTTCCGAGACAGTGTCGTGTCTTTTTGATACCGTTATCTTATAACACTCTTTGTCAAATTTTAATTACGAGAAACAGATCACACCGAATGCCATCTATCGCGCGGATACTTTGAGATGCAATATTCTGATCTGATCATATATAATCTTATATGACTATATTATTTTTTTTTTAATTTAAATCAAATATTTTACATGTTAAGTTCGACAAATAAAGAAACAAATTTTACCGCAAATATTATTTAAACATTATTTAAACAAAAATACGTTTTAATAAGAATCAAATTAAAACCAAAGGGCCTAGCGGAGTAAGCATGTGAAATCGGCCCTTGATCATACAGAGCTAACATTAATGTCACAAGTTAGTACCAATATGATAAAACTTCCCACCAAATATTATTTAAAAAAATCCACTTTTTTAGAAGTTATGCAGGGAGAAAGTAAAATAAAGAAATGTATTTTTCTCGAAAACCACTTGACCGATCTTGATGAAAAAAATATATGTTATGTAGACTAATAAAACTAATTAACAAAAAAAATGTCCAAAATGTTTGCCAAAAAAAGACCAAAAAAAAATATTTAAATTTTTAAAAAAATATTTAAATTTTTAAATATTTTTTTTTAGGGTGATATTTTCGAGGTACCCCTTTGAAATTTTTACGAAAATTTCTCTTAAAGTGTCCACTATAACATATATTTTTTTCAATTTTTTTTAAATAGTGGAACATAGTTAAAAATACGAAAATCGTAAGCGTCGCGTCACTCCGGCGCACAGTGCAGTGCCATTCCGCGTTGCGGGTGTTCGAAGTAACTTTACTAGCACATATGTACGTCTGCAATTAGCCTATAATATGTATACTTTTTAATTTTTATAGTTTCCAGAGTTTACCACGTGGAGGTTGCAGTACGGTTTTAAACTCCTTATTGGGGTGCTTTTTTAACGTGAGTCCCCTCGCCTCTCACTATATTTCCGTAAAATCAGGGTGCTTTTTTAACGTGAGTCCCCTCGCCTTTCACTACGTTTCCGTAAAATGAGGGTGCTTTTTTAACGTGAGTCCCTTCGCCTCTCACTACGTTTCCGTAAAATCGGAGTGCTTTTTTAACGTGAGTCCTCTCGCCTTTCACTACGTTTCCGTAAAATCAGGGTGCTTTTTTAACGTGAGTCTCTTTGCCTCTCACTACGTTTCCGTAAAATCGGGGTGCTTTTTTAACGTGAGTCCCCTCGCCTCTCACTACGTTTCCGTAAAATCAGGGTGCTTTTTGAATGTAAGACCCCTCGCTTCTCATTGACAGCAGCATCCAATTGTTCGTAGCCCATTAGCGATCTGTTTAAGAAAACAAATAACATTCCAGTAATAGACAGTGATAGTGAAGAAGATTAAATAAATCGTAGGTGTAGGCTGTTGTTACGTGCGAGCAAAATTCAATCTAAAAATAGCCAAGAATGTTAAGAGCGAAGAATCGATATTGATTAATTATCCGATTTCTAATGGGGAGACAGTTGCCAGGCCGCGGTTCACAAGGGATTGAATTACACCTAGTGATAAGACCTTCCTCCTCCTTCAAACATAAAGACAAAAGAAGTGGTGAGAAGCTCGCGCGGGGGGGTTCTTGCCACTTGAGTATAAATAAGAGCGAAAAATAATCGTACAGTAGTTGTTGTTGGGAATTAGTAGTTGTCATTGCTAACAGACTTTAAAAATTCAGACTTAAAACAGATCTTAACTACAATTTGAATCTTAAACCAAGATTGTAAGGAAAGTCTCCTTGAATAAAGGTGATTTAAATTCAATTTCTTAAACTAATTTACACTAAAAACCTTTAATTCCACAATCCTTAACTGTCGCTGCCAAATAGCGTGGCAACAGAAATTTCCTGATTCTTGTCGCTGCCAAATAGTGTGGCAACAGGATTTCCCAAATTCGTTTTCTCTTCGAACTAAATTAATCGCACAACCTGGTCCAAATCCCGGGTAAATTACTTAAATGTTTTGACCCAAAAACGGACGAACTAACTTTTGACAGAACGTGACACTGTAATAAGAGACGAGGGGTCTTACATTCAAAAAGCACCCCAATTTTACGGAAACGTAGTGAGAGGCAAAGGGACTCACGTTAAAAAAGCACCCCAATAAGGAGTTTAAAACCGTACTGCAACCTCCACGTGGTAAACTCTGGAAACTATAAAATTTAAAAAGTATACATATTATAGGTTAATTGCAGACTTACATATGTGCTAGTAAAGTTACATCAAACACCCGCAACGCGGAATGGCACTGCACTGTGCGCCGGAGTGACGCGACGCTTACGATTTTCGTATTTTTAACTATGTTCCACTATTTAAAAAAAATTGAAAAAAATATAAGTTATAGTGGACACTTTAAGAGAAATTTTCGTAAAAATTTCAAAGGGGTACCTCGAAAATATCACCCTAAAAAAAAAATATTTAAAAATTCAAATATTTTTTTTGGTCTTTTTTTTGGCAAACATTTTGGACATTTTTTTTGTTAATTAGTTTTATTAGTCTACATAACATATATTTTTTTCATCAAGATCGGTCAAGTGGTTTTCGAGAAAAATATATTTCTTTATTTTACTTTCTCCTTGCATAACTTCTAAAAAAATGAATTTTTTAAAATAATATTTGGTGGAAAGTTTTATCATATTGGTACTAACTTGTGACATTAATGTCAGCTCTGTATGATCAAGGGCCGATTTCACATGCTTACTCCGCTAGGCCCTTTGGGTTAAAGCCGCAATTGAATCGAGTAAAAGTCGCATACAGAACACATTAACTTTTTATTAAAATCTTATATATAAATATTCTGCATCATGTATGGTTCTGGATCATATATAATCCACATAAGTTATCTTATTAAATACAAATTAAAACCAGGGGACTTCCGGTTCCGGAGAGAACGAGAGTGACAGGTGTGCAAGTGAGCGAGAGCAAAAGGGTTTAGAAGAGAGTGACGAGGGAGGCTGAGGAAGGAGAAGGTGATAGAGCGAGGAGGTGTGGAAGTGAGAGAGTGAGGAGGTAAGAAGGGGGAACAGAGGAGGGGCAGGTAAGAGGAGATAAAGGGAGGTAAAGTGTCTAGGCACTGAGAAGGTGGAAGCACGAACGGTAGCCGAGCTAGAGGAGCGCACGGTAGGTGAGCCGAGCCGCGAGCGGCAGCACGAGGTAGGGCGCGAACAATAGCGAAGAGAGAGGGGCGACTCGACGCAGGATCCGGGACGCGGACAGCAGCGCAAGGCAGGGCATAGAGTAGGTGGTGGAGCTAGAGGGGGAAGTGAGCCGAGTTAGGAGGAGATGAGTGAAGGGAAAGAAAACGGGAGGGAGGGAAAGAGTGCGATAGGTAAGGTTAAGGAAAAGGAGAAAGTTAGAAGGGGGAGCACGGGAAATATAGAAGAGTTATGGAAAAGGAAGAGGGAGGAAATGGATAGGAGCGGGGGGGAGGAAAAGGAGGAGATTTTTAAGAGAAGTAACATGACGGCAAGATCTCCTAAAAAAGACTCGGAGATAGGTGTGAAGGAGTTGGGAAAAAGAATGGGAGAAATGATGGAGGAATTTAGGGCAGTGAGAGAAGAGCTAAGGGAGGGTTTCAAGGAGCAGGGTAGGAAGATGAGAGAAGAGATAGAGGACCTGAGAAGGGAGTTTAGGGAGCGAGAGAAGAGATGGAAAGAGGAGAGGGAAGAGACAAATAAGCAGAAGGAAAAAATGGAAGAAAGAATAAGGAGATTGGAGGAAAAAATGGAAGAGAGGAAGGAGGAGAAGAAGGAGGAGGAAAGAAACGGTAGAGGGGAGGTGGGGGAGAAAATGAGAGAACTGGAGAGAAGGCTGGAAAGGAAAGAAAAGGAGGAGAGAAGAAGAAACATTGTAATAAGAGGGCTGGAAGTAAAAGAAGAAAGGAGGAGAGAGAATGCAGAAAAGTTATTAGAAGGAATAGGAGCAAAAGTAAAGGCAATAGAGGTGAAGAGAATAGGAGGTGATGCAGAAAAAGGAAGGGAAATGGTGCTGTTAAAATTGGAGAACGAAGAACAGAAATGGGAGGTTATGGAAAAAAAGAGGAGCCTAGTGGGGAGAAAGGAAAGAATTACGGAGGACCTATCGTGGGAGGAAAGAAGAATGAATTGGAGGTTGAGAGAGATAGCGTGAGGGGAGGAAAGAGAGGGTAGGAGGGCATGGATTAAGGCAGGCAGAATAAGGTTGGAAAATACTTGGTGGAGATGGGATATGGAAGAGGAGGTGTTAAAGGACGAAAGGGGAAGGAGAAGAAAGGAGAGCAGAGGAGGGAAGGAAGGGAAAGAAGTTAAAGGAAGAGAGGGAGAGGTAGAAATGGAGACGGGGGAATAAGAGGAGAAGTGGATAGAGGGGGTGAGATAGAGAAGGACAACGCGAAAGTTAGAAGAGAAGAAGAGGGGGAAAGTAAGTCAGTTTGGAGGATAGTATTCTGGAACGTAGCTGGGTTGGAAAATAAAAATAAGGATTTTTGGGAAGGGCTGAAGAAAGAAGATGTGTTAGTCATGTTAGAGACCTGGATAGGAGAAAAGGGCTGGGAAAGAATAAGGGGGAGACTTCCAAAAGGGTACGAATGGGGGGTGCAAATGGCGAAGAAAAAGAATAAAAAAGGAAGAGCAATAGGAGGGATGATAATGGGAATAAGGAAAGGATTAAAAGAAAAGGGAACGGCAATAGAAGTAGATAGGGAGGGTTGGATTGCGGGAAAGGTCAGAACAGGTGGCGAGAACTGGAGTATTATAGGGGTGTATGCAAAGAAAGAGGGGATGGAGGAGAACGTACAGGAGTTAGGAGATAGAATGGAAAAGAAAGAAGAAGGAAGGTATACGATCATTGGGGGAGATTTTAATGCGAGGACTGGTCAAGAAGGTGGGAGGATAGAGGAAGAGGAGGGAGGAGGACTGGGAGAAGGAAGAAGGTCGAAGGACAAGAAGGTGGACAGAGAGGGGAGACTGTTGGTAAATAGCTTAAAGGAGAGAGGATGGGAGATATTCAATGGAAATGTGAGAGGAGACGAGGAGGGGGAGTTTACTTTCACGGGGGGAAGAGGAGATACGGTGATCGACTACATAATAGGGGAAGGAGAAGTAAGAGAGAAGATAGTGAGCATGGTAGTGGGGGAGAGAGTAGACTCGGACCATCACCCACTGGAAATAGTAGTAAGAAGGGGGAAAGAGAAGGAAGGCAGGAGAGGAGGGTGGAAGAAAAGAAGCAGGGGGGTGTGGAACGAGGAAGGAACAAAGAGGTTTATAGAAAAAATAGGAGAGGTGGAAGAAAAGGAAGAAGAGTTGAATAAGGAATGGGAAGAAATGGAAACAAGAATAACAGAGGCAATAAAAGGGGTAGAGGAGGAGCTGGGAAATAAGAAAGGGAAGGTGGGATGGTGGGATGAGGAATGTCGAGAAGCGAAGAAAGAGACAAGGAGAAAATTAAGGGACTGGAGGAAGAAAAGAGGAGAGGCCAGTGCGTACAAGGAAAGGAGGAAAGAATTTAAGGGGATATGTAAGAGAAAGAAGGAAGAGGAGAACCAGAGATGGGAGAGACAAGTGGAGGGGGCAAGGAGGGAGGCGGAGGTATGGGAGATAGTGAATAGGGAGAGAAAGAAAAGGAGGGGAATAGAGGAAGGAATAGAAGAGGAAGAATGGAAAG